TATCCCAAATCTCACATATCCCAAATCCCACAAATCCCAAATCCCACAAACCCCGAATCCCACAAATCCCAAATCCCACATATCCCAAATCCTACATATCCCAAATCCCATTTATCCCAAATCCCACAAACCCCAAATCCCACAAACCCCAAATCCCACATATCCCAATTCCCACATATCCCTAATCCCACAAGTCCAAAATCCCACAAATCCCAAATCCCACAAATCTCAAATCCCACAAATCCCAAATCCCACAAATCCCAAAACCCACAACCCCCAAATCCCACAAATTCTAAACCCCATTATCAACACTCTCAAACAATTAAACAACCCACAAAAAGTATCAAAAGCAAAATTTACACATATTATGTTACCCTGGTATTTTTCAGTCGTATTTTTCTTAAGAATTCATTTCCTCATTTTGACCGTAACTACGATTCAAATTTCGCGCCCTAACCTAGTCACGCGAACCATCATCAAAATAGAGTCGAGAGCGATTCGAACGGATGGAAATAAAATAGAAGAGGAATGATACAGGTATACTGATTTATCAGGAAGTTCATCAGGATGAACAGGAGTCGGTTTTCCGTAGAAGTTTCACCATTAAGAAAATATCCAATATTACTGGCAAGGCAGAGGCTGCGCCGAATTACCACGATGGGATGGTCTGATTTATTTTACGAGAAAAGTTCTATCGTCGCTTGCCTACCAAGGTGATCCTTCATTTCGAGGATCAAGGAGATGCGATTTTAATAATCTGCTCAAATTAGGAGAACGTCTCGACTCCGGGGGCACGGATACTCGACCATTTAGGTGTAATTTAGAGTTAAGATTGGATCCGCTGTAAGCATCCAACGTCGTACAAAAAAAAACGTAATAAAGCATCACGCTTAATAAACAGAGTTCCTACAGATTGTCTGCTATGAACAAAATTTAAAGCTTTAGTTTTCTTTGGGTACTTTATTAGTAATTTATGCTGTGTATCTTGCAAATTGTGTAGGAATTTTTAACTACTTATTATGCAAAATTAATTGGTGTAGCTTTTCACGAATAGTTTACAAAATTTATTATATTTCTTTTCTATTTTAAGTGTGAGGTGTCTTACAAATTAAATGGAACTTCTTCATTAAGTAGTCTTAACTAGCACCTTCTTATCAAACGTTGTGATTTATTAGAAAGAAAAATGAATAAGTATGTACTTTGTATAAATATACAAAATATAATACATTAATTATAAAACAGATTGTATATTTGAAAGAAATTTTAAGAAATAAATTGAAGTTTCAGTATTCTTAATACAGAGTAAATGTAAATTTTCCGTCAATGATTATGGAAATTGAAAAAAGAAGTTTTTGCGATCGAAAATAGACTCGTGTATGAAAATAGCAGCGAACCACGAATTTTTAAAACCAATTTTCTCACGAACGAAGCGTTTCGAGAGGAACTTTTATTCCACGTTCGCGATGTATATCTTTATGAAGAACAACGGTTTCTGCGAGATGTGTTGTATATTCCGTTCTGTAAAACCTCACAGAGACCGGAGGAATATCGAATACCCGTTTGTCTTCGTTTGCCTAAGTCCTCCACTTCCGTGGAACTTTAAATAAGTTGAAATGTACTCGGAAAGTGGCTTACACTAATGCACATTTAATGTGGCTTAATTGAGGTGAATTTGGGAATTTTGGGAATTGGGGAATTAAGAAATTGGGGAATTGGGAAATTAGGAAATTAGGAATTGAGAGATTAGGAATTTGGGGTATTAGGAATTGGGAAATTAGGAATTGGGAGATTAGGAATTCGGGGAATTAGGAATTGGAGATTTAGGAAAATAGAAAATTAGGAATTGGGGAATTGGGGATTTGGGGATTTGGAAAATTAGGAAATTAGGAATTAGGGAATTGGGGAATTGGGGAATTGGGGAATTGGGGAATTGAGGATTTGGAAAATTAAGAAATTAGGAATTGGGGAATTAGGAATTCGGGGAATTAGGTATTGGGAAATTAGGAATTTGGGGAATTTGGAATTTGGGAAATTTGGAATTTGGGGAATTGAATTTTGGGAATTTGGAATTTGGGGAATTTGGAATTTGAGAAATTTGGAATTTGGAATTTGGAATTTTGGGAATTTGGAATTTGGGGAATTTGGAATTTGGAATTTGGGAAATTTGGAATTTGGAATTTTGGGAATTTGGAATTTGGGGAATTTGGAATTTGGAATTTGGGAAATTTGGAATTTGGAATTTTGGGAATTTGGAATTTGGGGAATTTGGAATTTGGAATTTGGGAAATTTGGAATTTGGAATTTTGGGAATTTGGAATTTGGGGAATTTGGAATTTGGAATTTGGGAAATTTGGAATTTGGAATTTTGGGAATTTGGAATTTGGGGAATTTGGAATTTGGAATTTGGGAAATTTGGAATTTGGG